TAAAAAACGGGCTGGCTAATCTACTGATGACATCAAACCATTAATTAGGAAACAGCGAGTGTGAATCATCAGGAAATTGTAAATACATACTTTGAGAAAAAGAAAAACGTTTTCCAGCAGAAAATTTGAAAAAATAAATGAGAAAACACACTTTAAAAACATAGTCTTGTAACTCAAGATTTGAATTACACAATAGCAAGAGACAGGATTTAGCATTATTTCGACTTTATTTAAAATTCTTTACCAAATGACAATTTAGCTCTCGTTATGATAACTACTGTCTGAGTACATTCTGTTTATTCCTTGAAGAATTTACATGGCTTTAAAAAAAATTAAATTCAACTTTCAGTTTGTAAAAAAATTTTCACATTATCACATTTCGAAAAATATCACTTTTTGACAACGGTCAAAGTATCGCAAAAAGCTGCCAGCTGCTGCAGCCAATCATATTTGCAAGATATCAAAATATATCGCTTCACATGAATAGATACTATAAAAATAAATGTATACGAACGTCGCAACAACGTGTAAAAAAGTTGCAAGAACGTTCCTCAATAATATGTCAAATGTTATTCATTATGTGGTGCCAGTAAAGAATTACTTTAAAACGTGGATTTAACCTTGACGATATAGCTATTAGCTAGCTACATTCCGCCAAATGTCTTTTCATGAAGTATAAGCCATGGAACGTCTTTGCCTAACGTTGTGCTTAATGTCGTCACGACGTCCGCTGGAGAGTACAAATTTCCGCTTTTATAAATTTGTCCAAGACGTTTTCACTAGAGTATAAAAACTCTGTTAATAATTTAAAAATCAATTTTGTCCGCTACAAGTTTGGGCATTGGAAAAAGAATGGTGGATTTATAAAGCTGTTTGTTTTTGTTTTTGTTTATTTTATTTTTTTTCTCTTGACCATCTTTGAAAGTTTTCTTAGCAATGCTCTCCAATGAGTTCTGTCTACACTAGTATAGCAAGCCTGCTTAATTTAGTCGTCCTTTTTTAGTTTTTTTTGTTTTCAATCACTGCAAAAACAAAAATATTAAAACAAAATCAATAGCGTATAGCCAGCCAGAAAATTTGGTCGTGCTATGTAAATTTCAGATCATGATTTTCATTCATTTCTATAGATTTGCATTGTTTTTACAGCAAGTGAACATAGAAAAAATTAAATAGCATGAAAAAAATTACAGGCTGGCTACGCCACTGAAGAAAATGAATTATGATGCTTTGAAATCTACGTAGAAGGATACAAACATGCAGGCTGGCATCGCCATTATCTACGTATCGTCTAAATTTTCACTGCTTTTTGTTTATCACCTAATAAAAATCGCCTTGTTTACATTTTTGTTCCGTCATGTTTTTGGCGTGAATAAATTCACGTGGTCAGGATTAACATACTCGATAATTAATATAATGCAATGAAAAAGTTAAAACTGTTCAAAGCAAAAGCGTGCTAAAACTCCTTTATCTACAACAAAAATAAATCTTCGTAAGTCCAAAAAGAAGGAAATAGCCTGATAGCATCATCTTCAATACCACAGCCTAAGTTATATTTTTTCAAATATGTATACTTCTTTCAGTGGGTAAAGTAATTTAGCTTGTTTATGTTTTCCTTGGCGAATAACAAATGTTCTCCATTTTTTCAAGTTTTAATACATCCAAGAAGAGTAACCATTATAGCGACACACAAACTTTTCCCTTCGTTATACGCGAAAAGAATACAAGAATAATTTTAAACATTTCAAAATAGAATGTGGAATTCCCATGTTTAGAATTTTATTATAAGATATCGATACGCCAGTTGTCTCATAAAAAATTATTTGTGCGTCCTAGTTTAGGCAAACGAATAATTTTAAGATATGCCTCCCAATTTTTGCTGCAAAATATTTTACTAATGTTAACCGTGTTTAATGGATGCGTCCAATTTTCTGGTCTATCTACTTGTGACAGAAAATAATCAATGTGGAAATGTGCCTCTTCGTCAACAGGGAAAGTTTTTGTTAAAAAATTACAAGGTATTAAAAAAATATAAAAAGTAGGTCCGAAATTAAATAAGAGAACAGTGTCGTCAGTCAATAAATAACAATAATAATAGCTTAGAAAACCATTACGATAAAAACTTGATATGTAGTCATCAAATGGATCAAGTGGATACAAGCGATTGCTATTAAGATCTAAATCTGGAAGTGTTTCACGAGTGGGATTTACAAAGAATACTTTGCTCCTTCTATACAAAGCGCAGCACCAAGAATGAAAACCAACAGGAAATTCGATTCTTGTCGTACCATCAGGTATATTTTCGTTGTTAAAAACAAGTATTTCATAGTTATTCACCACATTATAAATTACAACGCCGGCTCTGTGCCTAGTAACGCACAAATATTCTCCAGAATGAGAAAAACACAGTGAGATCACACTACTACAACTAATACTGCGTTTCTTCTCACCTTTCATTACATCCCATACTGTCAAAGTACCTTTGAAATATGTGACCATTGTGTACTTATCCTTGGAAAAACATTTGTTGGTAAAAAACTTGGAAGTAGAATCATCACAATGGAAGGGACTGGAAGATATTTCACCGTTAATATCTAGTGTTGTATCAAGCTGGGAAGCAAAAATCAAATCATTGAATGGATGAAAGACAACGCAAAATTTTCCCGCTGTATATTGCTTAAGCTGATCAGCAATATTTTTTATCCATAAACACCTGTTTGTTCTCAATGAAAAAAGTTGCACGGTGAAATCTTTATAACCACAGATGACATAATCATGATTTCGTGAAACATCGACCCAGCACAAACGTTTATTTAAACGTAATAACCGAGCCTTCACAAATCCTGTGTCGATGAGCTCTCTAAAATAGCGGTTTTTCACACTTGTTTGAAACATTGCGGAAGCTTGGGACCTTCCACTGACAAGAAGTGCCAGAAATCCTTTCATATTTGAAAATTTCCACGAAAGAACACAGGAAACCTCATTAAATAAAAAACGAGTGTCTTCAGGATGATTAGTGAATACATCATGTGACTCGATTAAGCGGAAGTTTCTCAAAATAAGATTTTCATCAATAAAGAAAGAAGCAACTAAAACTTTCAAGTCAACAAGATATTTAACAACATTTTCAACGATATAATCATTACCAGAAATAGCAAGTAAATGATGCAACCAATACTTGACTGAATATCTCACTGACGCATGTTTGATGACGTCATAGTTTACACCTCCAGCTTTGAGATTATCCAAAGATTTTAAACAAAATTCTAAAACAAGTCGATGACCACAAGAAGTTTTTACTGAGTAATCATGTTTATGATTAGAAACCAGCCAATCGCTTAAAGATTTGTGAAAAAACGAAACACATCCTTCTCCATTAATAACAAACAAGCATGAGATAATTTTTTCAACCCTATATGAGGTGCGTTTTAAACAAAGCACATCTAAAATTATTTCCAAAGGAAGAGGTTCCTTAGCAACAACTAAAACATCCAAAACTGACAGAAATTTTTCGTCATTGATATCGAAACGCTTTAATTCATCGCCCAACCTTTTTAAGCAAGTTTCATAATACTCGTTAATATCCTTTGGCAAGGATCCAATCAATAGTTCCTGATTTTTAACAGCACTGGTAAGAAGACATGCAAGCAACATAAGTCCGTCAGCTATTTTTGCCAAAATACTTTTAAAATTAGAGCTTTTAGTAGAGCCAATTCTTTTTTCAATCAAAAATTTAATATCCTCTAAATTGCGTTTATCGCTACAATTAATGAACAGTGGATTTAATTTTTCGAACTTATTCAAAGCAACTTCGTTAGGTCTGGTTGTAATTACAAAGCGAAAACAAGGCGGAAGTTCGTGTAAGTGATTAGCAATCAAATTAGCAAGGTCATCTCTTTCTGGATAACTACATTCATCAAGAGCATCCAACAACACTAGAATTCGATTAGGAAACTCCGAAATTTTAACAAATAACTCAGTAAAAAGAAGGGAAAATAATCCTTTAACATTCATGTCATTCAGAGGATCAGAGAGTTGACCTGAAAGTTTTTTCACAAGAAGTTGTTTGTAAGCAGGAAAATTACGACTAACTTGCATTGCTAAAGATTGAAGAAGTACATTGGCTTTATTGTAACGACTGTTGTTGTGTTGAAAGAAATGAATTGCAGTCAAATACTGTGGATAACGTTCACATAAAGTAGCTGCAATTACAGACTTACCCATACCAGCAACAGCAGAAATGATAAATGCACGATTTTGAGAATTTTCGTCTTTAAACCAATCTAAAAACTCTTTAAAAACCCATTCCCGTGTTCCAGGCAAATATTTTTTAAAATGATACCTAATTTCACTTTCAAAGTTACAGCTAACAAGGTTTTTTGTCAAAATATCTTCTTCTGGACCTAAGTGAGGGTGATGTCTTATTTCATGTACTTCGTCTTTAATTACTGTGACACTATCTTTTACCTGTTGTAAATCTTTCTCTACACCCTCCATTGTTTTCTTAATACCTCTCTGATCAGTTTTAATGTCAGTTAAATCGCTCTTAAATCCATCCCATTCTCTCAAAATTCTTTCAATTTCTTCATTACCAAACAACTCATTTTTCAATCTATCTATTTCTTCCTGACTTATTCCTAAACGAACTAATGGTTTGCTTATTTCCAGCCAATGATTTTTAAAGTCATCAGAGCTTACTGAAGTGTCAGGTAAGTGAGCAAAATGATCATTACGAAATAACCTGATACGGGTAATATCTGCTTCAGTTGAATAATCAGTGGGGTCATTTACTGACGTCCATATTGGATCATGAGGTGGTTTTAAACCACAAATATTACGCAGGAGAATACAAAGTAAAGTAATGTCAAACTTATTTTCATTTTGTAATTTTGGAGGAGGAGGATACAGTAGATCCCATTGATGTTGCTTTATTTGCTTATCTTTTAGCAACAAAAGCTTATCATAATTTTCTGTCTTATTCAAAACATTAAATAAATCAGTACCTGACAGTTGTTTCCTTAATGTTATTCTTAAAGCTTCTCCACCAACATCAACAATTAATCTCATCAACTTAAAACCATTAGTTTTCTTGTCTGAGCTCCAGAAAGACCCCATGTCGCTACCTTTAATAAAAAAGTAGGTAAGACTTCCATGGTGCAAATTTATTGTGATTATAATGGAATCCTGGCGTTGGTTATAAGATGGCAGAATAGTTTTATCCATTAAATGGCAAATTGTTTTGAACTTTAACAAAAACTCTTACGAGGGAATAATATGTGATTTGAACTGAGCAATCACAAAAATAAAATATTGCTTCTAAGATTATAACTCTTATAAATATTGCTTCTAAAATATAAACACCTTTTTCTACAAGGTTGAAAATTTTACTATCCGACAAACAATGCTATCCAGGCTTCCTGCAACTGTCCTCAGATGTACCAGGTACATAAAAAATAGGTACGAGTGTGTACATGTCGGTAGCCTTGACGAGAGTTACTGTACATGGAACAGTAGTCAGTAGTCCAACTGCTTAGTGTTGTATTTTTCATTAAATTAAGTGAAGTCCCAAGGCCATTCACAAAGTCAAGTCCAAAGGTCATTCCGTAATAATAACATATGTAAAATAACAAAAAATATTTTCATGTCAAAATGCCACAAAATGAAATAATTCCTTTCTTTGTCACTTCTCTTTGGTACAAAACGTTCTCTGTGCTCAATGTTTAATAAAAATGCACAGTAATTATCATCATCTTTCCTTTTTATTGCTCTCCTACGCTCAGAGCATGTTATGTGTGCAGGTGTTCACGTGCTAACATCGTGCAAGGAAGCATGCAAAAAACAATATAGTTGCCATGTCCTTATTAATCTCATAAATCTTATAAATCTCTTCAGCCGAAGATATCACGACGGAGAGACAGACACTGCCTCACTCAGACACGTTTCAGTATTTCCACCAAAATATTTTAGCAATATGAAATCTTTCTATGATTTTAAGCCTTTCTGAGAAAAATTTTTGGAAATTTGGTTAACTCAACAAGCATTTATGGCATCTTAAATTGCGCTTTTTTTGCCCACGCCGAAAATGGCGCTACAAGGTATTTTGACGTTATCCAACATAGTCAGCATTCGGGCATATTTAGCTTATATTAAACATATACGTTCTTTCACGCTGTTTTATTATAATATTTGAGAAAATATGTCTTGCCAAGAAAGCGATGAATCAAAATCAGAATTAAGTGTTCAGTCAGATAATTCTAACAAAAATATTTTACCGGGATATGTGACAGAAAACTCTGAAAGCAATGAAACTTGAGCGATAATGATTTGGATTTTGACTCCAAAGCATGGATGGTCGGAAAGACACAAATTATAATCTCATCTTTTTTTAGCCCTGGAAAATTAGCGTTCGTTTGATTCGGCAAACTACTAAACTGACGCTCCAAATCCTCTGGTTTTAATCGAGCCGAACAAAAAGTGTTGAAGCACAGGAAAGCTCAATTACGATGAAAGATGTAAAAATGGTCAACAAAACATTTTAATAAGAAAATCAATGGAAAATTAGTTGGCATAATTTTTATTAGAGTTGACTCAAAATTGTGTAAAAGATGTAAGAATCTGTACGCCTATGACCAAAACCATTTTTCATTGGTTAGATTATTAATCTAAAAAAATATGCAAACTACATGAAATAGCAAGGAACTGAAGATTAAAAACATTCATACCTTACTTGTATTAAAATTCGAGTCGTACTCATTTTCGCTCAGCTTTAAATTCGCGCGATTTAATTTCGCGCACTTTGTTGACAATTATTCGCGCAGCTTTAAATTCGCGCAAGTAGTTTTATGTGCTCGTTCTTTTTGGTTTTTTCAAAAGAACTACTAATAATTAACCCATTTATATTGAGCTTTCTTTATTAAGAAATACCTCAACATTCATCAAAAAAGCGATTGGGTGGCCTTAAAAATGGCTTCAAAATAAAGCGTGAGTTCACTATCCCAACAAGAACTAAAAAATGTAATAAATGATATTGCCTAACAACATACTTTATAAGTCAAACAAAAGTTTAGCTACAGTTCAAATGGATCCTCTTTTCGTCGTGGTTCCTCTAATGAGGCCCTTACACCTGATCGTTGCCAACCTTTGACGACAATGTCCTTGTTCGATTGCATGTAATCATAGAACTGCACTATCCATTTTGCGTGAAGTGGTTTGAGCACGCTAATTCTCAAATCAACAGACACTTTATCAGGTTGAATACCTTTCTCTATTTGGGCTTGGACTTGCTCTTAGTACCATGTTTGCGCCTGGTTTCGAAGGAAAGCTTTGCAAGGCGTTTGACCGTTTAATCTAAGGGCTGCAGGTATGATGTCATATTATTGGGAACAGGTATCATCTTCCCATTTTTGTCGGAAATGATCTTCTTTACGTCATCCGTCCAATGTGCTTTAAAAACATCGGCGATCAAAACCCATTGTTTTGTTGCGCGAAAACCAAGCTCTTCTCTAATTTGCTTAACATAGGGGATAAGAATGCGATTGACTAATTCAATTGCTTTCGTTTCATTTGACCAATGATTTTCCGTGTGGGTAACGCGGAATTCTTTTGGAAATCTGAATTTAGGGTGACACTGGTCTGTTTTCCCCTGGTAGATTAGTTGAATTGGCAGAAACTTTCCCGACGCGGTGACTGAGAATGTTCCAGTAATTTGGCGATAATCGGCGCTATCACTGATCGGCACAAACTTCTCGTTAGTTTTGTCCATTGTATACTTGCTGATGAGGACAAACGGGAGAGGGGTCTGGTCAATGTTTATAATGAGATCGTCGGGAACGTCCTAAGCGGTAACCACTTCCTTAATAGAACGATGAAATGTGAAGCGAATTTCTTTTAAGAAGCCAGGTGATACGGGTTGTTTTGCAGTTGTTGCTCTACGTTTACTGAAACCCAATCTTCTGAAAATTGACTGGCACCATGTACAGTGGAATTCTAGGGTTCCTCCGTTTTCTTTCAACAAAGACCGATCATTAGCCAGTACTATCCCCTTCGCTATGGAAATAGCAATGTTGTAATTGACAACACAACCGGCCGTTCTCATGCTCTTGATCATGGCGATAACTTTCTCATCGATGTTCTCGGGTAACAAAGTTTTTGCTCCACGATGTTTTCTTGGCAATTGTTCGAGTTCAGTGCGCTCTTTTCGTTCCTTATTGTACGATTTGACAAGTCCACGAACAGTTGACTCTGGTACGGAATACTTTCTTGCCGCCGGTCTTATTCCATGCACAATTCCCCATTTTGCAATTTCTGCTCGTTGAAAAGCATCATATGCTCCATATTTGACCCTCCTTTTCTTTGGTTCTGGAGCGTCAAGAAATAATTGCTGTTTTACTGCATTTTCTTCGGCAGCATTTAATTTGCTGTCAGACGACGCGACCGAAATATCGTCTTGGGAAACCTTTTTGAAATACTTTAACAGAGCCATGTGCGTTGATTTCCCGCGATTGAACGGTAGAATATGTGTTGCGGAAACGTTTGACGTATTCGGCAATTAGTTAATAAGGAAGTAAAATCAGTCAGTAAAATAATAATAGAACATCATATCTAACACCTAGAGAAACGCGACTCATCATTGACTATTGTGTTGAAGAAATGGAAAGCATTTGCATCGTGTGCAATGATTTGACAAAAATACACTTGTCTAAAATGTAAATCATTTGTTTGTAACCGAGGAATCATGTGTTCAATCCCTGCATCTGAAAACTATCCTGGATGGAAAAGTGGTTCGAGTGTTGCTTTATGTGAAGCGTGCGACGCGAAAAAAAATTACGCATCTGATTGCTTGCTTCAGGAAACCCACGATTCAGGAACGGATGATTCTAATTCAGTGAAACTGAGCCCCAAAGGGACATCGTTTTCTCTGTCTTGCGCATCACGAGGTTTTCATGAATACAGAAAAATCTGGGCTCCAAGAATCAACCAGCAGTTAATAATAAAACCAGAATCAGGAAACCTATTCGACCCACATGCTATTGGTCTGTTTACTAAAATCAGAGGTAAGATTGAACCATTGTCACTGGTCGGACATTTGCCTCGAGAGATTTCCCGATTTTGCAAGTTATTTTTTGAATATGGGGGCAATATAGAAGCATGTGTGTGTGACATCAAATTTCGTCGATCCCCATTACCACAAGGAGTCTTGGAGATTCCTATTACCCTAACAGTCATGCAGAACAATGCAAGTTTTAGGATATACATAAAGTATTAATATGTATATTAAGGTATACATAAATTAATATGAGCCACCACCCAACAATTATTGATCTTCCTGTACATGAATGAATCCAAATAAATAGATAAATCTTGTAACAAAAATATATTTAGCGACCACACATTGTCCACAATCATTGATCATTTATAAAAGATAAAGGCACATATAAAATATTGACTTTAGTATGTTATTTCAGTAGCAAATCAACACATATCAACAAACAAGTTTTATCATATCAAAAGTTCAAAATATGTTGATGTACGTAACTAAGTGATGAAAACCCTCTACAACGATCATTTTAAGATTAAACGATGACAAAAATTACTTTCGAACAGGAACAAATCATCTTAAATACAGTGATTTAATGTTCTGCTTCACTTATATTCATTTCCTGTACAATGTTTGAAATCTAACTTGAATATCTTGTTTATGTTTGTTGTATTTTATGGTTTAACAATAACCATGTTTAAATACTTATCAAGAATAACAAAGCAAACTTGTTTTAACGTCGAATCTTACCTACATTAGTCAAAGTCTTAAGTAAAATTTAAATAAAAAACTGTCTTTGTTCCACTTAGATAGATACGTAAATTAAAATTAATTCGAGTCGCCATCTAGAGAAGCAAAATGTTTATATTACCGTTTTATTAGATGGAAGGAATATTTCTTGATATCATGATCATATATTGCCAGAAAAATATCTCCAACTTACGTTGACGTGGATGATATTTGATAACATAAAGACTTTTAAATACTCTCACAGCAGGCTAACGCTCCTTATTTATGTGCAATGTGTTACGCGTGTGATCTCGCGTGACCTCCACGTATGTATAGTCAAAGATTTTATACTTTGGGCAACTCTCACCACAATATGACCAACCGTTAACTCAAACACTTTCACCAACCGTTCATTAAAATGTCTCATATGTAAATAGTAAAACACGACAAAAATAGGACGCAATAATAACGAATGAATTTACTACCATTTTACAATGCATATGAAAAACGAGAATGCTTTAAGGGCTTGTCATAGCAAATGTTTCTCAATACCTGTGCCGGTCTTTCAAAGCCTATGATAGGTTTTTTGAGACCTATGTTGGACTCGTTTTATCCACCAATTTCTTTGATTGTTGATTTTCTTTGTTGTCAATGGACCACTCTTCCTTTGTCCTTGTTTCTACTGTTCTGGATAAATCTTGAGATCCATTCACAAATTTTCAAGGTTTCCAGTGATCGTATTTCTTAAGGAATTCTTTGAACTTTTTATGTAGCAGGGTTGCAGTTTTAAATATTTGTGTTACAGGTTTTATTTTGTCCAGACTTTCATCCGTTACTATAGTTGTCATCTTTTCTAATCAATTGTCTTTCGTTGTCAACCAATTTGGATCCATTCACCACCGATCGTTTCCTTTACTCACTTTACGACCTCTGCTCGCTAGGTCTGCAGGATTATCTTGTTCAGGATTGCGTCTCTACTAGATGTAGCTCTTTTCCTGTATCTTCCTCACTCGATTCCTTACGAATTACTTTAGATCCTCACTTCCACCATTCCGTATCTAATAGAGAGCTACTCTGCTGTCCAGAAATGCAAAAACATTGCCAATTGAAAACCCGTCCAGCGCTTCCTTGACGTTAAAAAAAAGAGTTGTTGCCTTATGTGCAGATATAAGTTCTAAGCGTGGTATTGTCAGGTCCTTCTTACCAAGACAAGATTTGGCAGCCACCAGGTCCTTGAACGTACCACTCTTTTGATGGACAATGGCCATCACCATTGCCCCAACTCCATGACTGCAAGCATCAACAAAGGTATGCAGCTCAATTTTTTGAATGATTTCCTGGAAACACACGATGCTTCGTGGAAGTTTGAAAGATTGTGGAAAACATATTTCTCAGGATGACCATTTATCTTTGATTTGTTGTGTTAATTTCTCGTTCCACGATAACTAAGCATCACGGCAGTCCCGATGGTGGAGCTTGACCAACAACGTGAAGGAAGACACCAAACTCAGTGGGTCATAAATCTTCGCTGTCTTAGCTAACATCTCACGCTTCGTGTTGTGAGACATGTCCTTAGGTATCTGAACTTTGAGAAGATTTTTCTTTTTGTCCATGATGACCCAGGAATTGTTTCTTCGCCTGTTTTCGCTCCCAATTGTTGTTTTGCGTATGTAGTCTCCTACCAAAAGGAATGGGGAAGCAGTAATTTATTTTGACTAACCATAGATCCGCCACTGCTTGGAGACAGTAATTTATTTTGATTAACCCTAGATCCGCCACTGCATTGGAGACAGTAATTTATTTTGACTAACCCTACATCCACCACTGCTTGGGAGACAGTAATTTATTTTGACTAACCCTAGATCCGCCACTGCTTGGGAGACAGTATTTTTTTCAAGTGAGAAAACTTTGTCACCGCAGGGACATCCGCTTAATCAATGCCAACTTCAAATTGATTCCAAAATGGCATCTAATCTGTTGCTGTACAATCAAATTTGGTGACCACATGTGCTTGGGTAACTTTGGTCTGGTGTTCTTCGCTTTCTCATGGTCTTTTCGCAAGGATTCCATTTTCAACTCATATTTCAACCGTGGTTCTTGTGGCAACTTTCGCGCTTCAGTTGCTCTTAGAGTATGTCATGACGTAGTTTTGTTGCTCTCTTTTCTTCTAGCAATTCTTGTTCTTTTTATTCTTCTTCCTCTCTAGCTCCGTTGGTCTGCTTTACATTGATTGTCAATTTTTTACAATCAAATCCTTCCAACTCTAAGTTGATTTCATTTACCCATTTTTCGATTTTGTCATCCTTATCACCTCTCTCAATTCGAAGTTCTTGAATTCTGAGTTTCAGTTGATCAAATTGTGAAATTAGTTTGCCAAATGTAGTTTTCTGCAGCTATTAATGGCTCAATCTGAAAACAGCTCGCACATTCATAGTGATCTTTTTAGTTTAGAGATAATGCTTTATACCTGTATATAAGTTACATCTATATTTCAATCACGTTTGAATTATAATCATATTCCTTAGTTCCACGAATAATAATTCATACGGTTCAATAACTTCTAAAGCTGCTCGTGACTAGACGGATCCAGTGTCAACTGACTTCATCGAAAATTTCTATACTATTGACAACTTCAAAAAGCAAAGTACTTCTCCAATAGAAACAAAATTGTATTTCACAACGCCATAGAGAATGATCCTCAGGCAAGTTTAACTTCAACATTAAGGGCCTAGCTCATCTCCTTTTCTTGAGGCGATATATATACGTCTCAAAAAGCCTGTGCTAATTTCTGGACCAAAGGCTTCTAAAGAACTTGCTATATTTTAATTCCATTGATGTAATTCTAGACAGTAACACCTCCTTTCATCGCCTTTTTTTCTTTACATTGCTTACGTCATTTCTTTGTAACAACTATTTAAGATTACGCATACTTGTAAACAATGACTTAGCTTGATAATGACTTTGAACTAAAGTCAAAATATTGCTTTGAATCTTGTCTCTTGCTTTTATAACTCGAATCTTGAGTTTACAAGATGGTGTTTTTTGGAGTGTGTTTTTTCCTTTAATGTATTGTATGTTTACACTCATACAAAATGAACAATAAGGTATGTTCAAAGAGTGTAAAATGTACTGCCATGTTTCATATTTACTAATATAATTCACTCGCATGCTTATTATATTGACAATGACAAGAGAGAAGAAGCGTTTATGTATTTTAACTTTAATGAAATCGGTGTTATTGTTTGTTACTTGAAAACGATTAAATTCGGTGGAACTGTTAGTTTATTACATATTTACTGACAAATTTTCGGATTTTAGAAACGGATCCTGTGAACACAAAAAAGTGAGTCTGATTCGTCCATCTACAAAATGTATGAAAATAGAGCTTGTTCCAGTTTCATCAAACAAGATCAAAGAAAACTGATTAGTCAAATTACATAGATTTGAATGTGTATGGGTGAAAGTTGAATGTGTATAAATGCTCATCTTTGCTAAATTAAGTGTCCTGGTACATATATATATATAGCACATTATACTGAAAATTACTGAAATAAATTGAATTAGTACATGACTACATACATATCAGTTTAAAAATCATAATCATAATTCATACTTTAATGTTACATCAATCTTTTATCCATGTAACTTTTGTTACATAAACACATTTAAATAGCGAACGAAAATGAAGAGTGAATCAGGATCTCCTTCAACAAATAGTCTAATAAAACATTAATGACATCTCTGTAGAACATTCTAGTTATATTACTAAGTATACATCACTGACTAAAAACAATTGTTACAGAAATAAAAATACATAAATAAAAATCTCATGCAGAGTACATAATAACATTCCAAAGGACTAATGCTAAATCTTATAAAGTTTCACAAGTTTTAACTCGGGAATAGAGAATCACCTATCTAAGACGGGTTTGAATGCCAATGGTTAAGACACGATTATCGAAACTGTGAAGGGATTTTTTCCCCTCATTAATCAAGAATTGCATATGTGTATATTCTTGCATAAGTCGTTCATAATATAAAAAACCTTTGTTATTGAATAAACCATCGTAAATTATGAATACGAGGCAAACATCAACTGCACGCAATTATATTTACGTATGATCATTGAAGACACTGTAGATACAACAGTAAAGGTTGCAATGAAAGTAAACCTTTAAACTGTTAAACAAACATCGTCACAAGTATAATTTTAGAAGTTCACAGTGTTGCATGAATCAACATTTCACAAAAATAGATTCGGTTGCGTCCTTTCTACGTGTAAAAACATTCTTCCTATGTTTAACATTTGCTCATTTTAAAAATGTTCTTACTTTTAAAATGAATGGTTTGTTCAATACAATTAACAACATTTTGTTAGACACACAGGGATTAGTCAAAAGTGGCGTTGGTATAAAAGGGAGGTGATGCATGATTGGACATGCTAACCCCCTACATAAATTTTCACAGATTCCCATTTTTTCCATAGACAAGTATGCTATTTCACCTCTCCCATACCTTTGAACAGGTTTTGCTTTCATTTACCATTCAGCTTATTGTCAATAGTTAGAAGTTGGTATATCATTTTCGATATGATTGCTCATGCATGTTTAGTCATACTTTATCGAGATGCTGCTTTAGCTAATTTGTTATGTCGGTAATGTAGTTCTAAAATATCGCTTAATTTTTCTAAAATTACCATCGTTTTAGAAGTAAGACGACCGTGTGAACAAAATTATGCCTGCTTTAGATCTTTACATGTCACATAATCAACAAACGGATGAGAGATTTATTATAAACAACGCGACCACATACATATTACTTAAAAAATGGTGATCATTATTCATACCTTATTGTTACATCAATCTTTCATCCATATAAGTTTTGTTACATAAACACATTTAAATAGCGAACGAAAATGAAGATTGAATCAGAGCCTCCTTTAACAAACAGTGTAATAAAACATTGATGACATCTATGTAGAACATTCTAGTTATATAACTAAGTATGCATCACTGACTAAAAACAATTGTTATAGAAATAAAAATACATAAATAAGGACCTCATGCAGAGTACATTATAACATTGAGATTAGTCAAATTTTAAAGGACTAATGCTAAATCTTATAAAGTTTCACAAGTTTTAACTTAGGAATAGTGAATCACCTATCTAAGATGGGATTTAAATACCAATGATTAAGACACGCTTTTCAAAACTGTGAATGGATTTTTTCCCTTCATTAATCCAAAATTCCATACTTGTATATTCTTGCATAAGTCAGTTCATATTATAAAAAACCTTTGTTATTGAATAAACCATTGTAATTTATGAATACGTGGCAAACATCAACTGCACGCAATTATAATTACTTATGACCAATAAAGACACTGTCGATACAACGCTTGATACGGTTACAATGCTTGATTATTCCCAATGGTTATTGAATTTGTTACTTTTTGAATTCTTAATGAACTTCTCGGCTACCCTTGACAGTTCCAATAACTTATTGACAACAAAAAACTTATTTGGTTACAACAGATAGGATGCCTCTCCTTATTTGACTAGAAATTATTTGATACAAAAAAATATCACGTTGTTTTTCCCCATAATATCTCTAACCTGTATGTACTTTCCTATTAATGACATTTGCATTATATTGGACGTGACAATATTTGAATATCAATTAACTTACTTGAGTAAGTCTACATTTTACTATGGACTAATGATAAAAATGTTCTATTTATGTTCTAATTTACTCTGTCTATTCCATAACAGGAATAGACAGAGTAAATTAGAACATAAATAGAACATTTCAAACTGCTTTGAACCCTCCCCTGCTTCCTCATCAACGAGTTTGCGTAGCAAACTCGTTGATGAGGAAGAGGGGAGGGTTCAAATTTATGAATGCATGTCTTAATCTATAGAAAAAAATGGATTTTAAAAAGAATTTAATTCTGCAGCACTTGCATGTATGAATACGTTCTCCCCAATTATTGAGGTTGCTAAACAATTGCATATGGATGTAATATTTATGATCATTTTAACAAATTCAATGGTTGTAAAAAGACAAATTGTATTTCGACATGCCATAACATATAACAGTCATCAAAGTTATGGAGGAACCGACATAAAATCAAGATGACAGTCCATATTCTGCCTGCTGTCCTCAAAGAGATTGCTGACCTGAAGGTCTATTAAGTTCATTTAGTTCATCTTGATTTGTTTCCTGGAGTAAATTGGCATCATCAACTTGATTTGATTCCTCTGTCAGAAATTATAGAAATTAGTAAAAAGGTTTTTTATTTGTTTGAAAATTTAATCGACCCCCTAATCCGCTTCCGACTGCACTTAGTAATGGTATTAATATAACTAGAAGATACATGGGAACAAATCTAAGATAATCAAGTGTGCTAATTGAAAGAATGAACTAGGACATATTATAATTTTTAACACTAAATATAAACTTGCCTCCTTTAATATTGCCTTGCCTAAACTTGTTTCCTCTGATGTTACATTGCCACATGGAGAATTTAAGATGTTTGTTATTAATAAAGGCGTAGACAAAGGTTGATAGAACATAATTTTTTCTAATCTAATGTAATAAACTCCAGCTATCACAGAACAAACTAAAGCCAGTCAAGCGCTGAGATAGTAACCTTGACCAACAACTGCTAAAATTAGATACCATTTAGTTAGAAACCCAATTAAAGGAGGAATTCCTGCAGTAGACAATAAAACCGTAGCTAATGCTAATGCTAACATTGGGTTTAATCTTGAAACACCACTAAATTCAATAAGCATGTTTCTTTTAGGGGATATAATTAGGACTCCAGACCAAAGTAATACTTGAGTTATTATGTAAGCACCTACATACATTAAACTCGCCTAAGACTTTCTATAGACCCAATAGCTATTCCAAGTAACACAAACCTCATATGGCCTATTCCGCTATAAGCTAGTAGTCTTTTTATTCGAGTTTGATTCAAAGCTCCTATAGCTCCAACAATCAATGAGATTAACCCAGCTACTAATAGCCAATTTCATTTAAGCCTATTTGTACTATAATAGCTAGTACTCTTAATTTAGGTACAATAAATAAGAGCGCAGCTACCCAAGTTGGAGCACCTTCGTATACATCGGGGTCCCACATATGAAATGGGGCTGCAGACACTTTAAATAACAATGAGATAGTAATAAGACACTTACCAGCTAATACACCATAAGACTCTAAACTCATACGAATAAATTGAAATTAAAGTTCTCCTGTGGAGCCATAAATTAAAGCACAACCGAACAGAAACAACCCCGAAGATAGTGCCCTTAACACAAAGTATTTCAGTCCAGCTTCTGCCGATAACAATGAGCTTTTTTTATAAGCCACTAAGATAAACATACATAATGTTTGCATCTTTAATGCTAAATATATAGAAATTAAATTTGTTGAGCCTTTAATTAATAAACTACCTAAGATCACTAATAAAATCAATAAAGAGCTTGATCAATGCGATGTTTGATGGTCCAGCATACATAGTACAGCTAATCCACTTATCATCACCAACATTTTAATAGCCTGTATCCAACATAGTAAATGGGGCTCAGTTAATAACTCAGTAGCCCCCACAACCCCCGCCCGCAAGTAGTATAGTTAATCTTAAAGTCGGGGCTTTTAATCCATATGTCAACACTATTAGTATAATGAGCCCTAGTGTTAATTCCATAATATGCCAGGGGCTATGCACCCACATGGCATATGCCTTGTTAATCCCTAAACCTTTTGTTTTCCTTCTTTGCAGCAGCCAGAAGTTGATTACGTCGATATGGCCAATATAGTCGAGCATCACTGAGACCATTCCTTGCGTACTTGGACTCAGAAAAGTTGGGATTGATCATTTTAGATAGAAACCGAGCTGTGTCACCACGCTCTGAACTCAAATCATGTAAGGTTTTCATGGTCGAACAGACCAACCTAAGGTACCTTCTACAGCACCAGGGCACCGCAATTCAACATCGAGATCGCAAACATTGTCCTCGATAAGAACTCTCCGACAATATTACGCTGTTATCCCTACGGTAGCTTTTATCAGCTTTCGATATTTATTTTGGACTATGATATCTGGTCATTATCGCCCACATAGGACTATGTCCTTGTGCTAGCTAGGGGTTTCCCCCTCACTGTCAGGCTAATGAGATTAGCTTTTACACCAATAAGCTCTCCTTCGTTTCTTATTCAAAGGTAGTTGCCCCAACTAAACTGTCTTACCAACAAAATTACTAACTCAAAATTAGGATACTTGTATCGATCATTTTTAGTCATCGTTATTGGTATCCAGTAAAGCTCGATAGGGTCTTTTCGCCTTACAATGATTATGTAGTATCTTCACTACAACTATAATTTCATCGGCTTTCCTCTTGAGACAGTAATACCCTCGTGGACCCATCATACCCGCCAACAATTAATTGGCTATTTATTGCGCTACATTATCACGGTCAGAGTTTCCCCGGCCATTCAGTTGGGTTTCGCTTTAGAGGTTAGTGCTTAGTTTTACTATACAACCATTGGGCAGAATTCACCCTCTATACATCAGTAACCTTTAGCAGAGAGCTATGTTTTTGGTAAACAATCGAGATGTTATTTTCCCGAGTTCCTTAAGAGAAATTATGCCTTGATCAAAGTCCCATAATAACAGTTGCAGGTGCAAAATACCATAATATTTTCCTGAACAAGTACAAGAATTATAATTCATCGAGGGTAATACCCCTAGAAGCTGTATATAGATTTATTTGGGAGTGAATCTTGTACTACTCATGCCTGCATTATCACTTCTGTCTCATGAAGTATGCACATATCGTGCTTACAGAACGCTCTACTACCATGCCAGTTGCTTCCTTATGGTCTGACTTCTAGAATTTTAGTTACAGATTTAGCCGCCTTAATTTTTAGAGTTTTCTAGCTCATTCAGTGAACTTTTACGTTTTCCTGTACAGATGGCTCTTTCCAAGCCTACTTCCTGTTTGTCTAAGTTGAACCCTCTTTATACACTTAATCTGTATTAGTGACTTTAATTTCTGGTTAGGGCTTACCCCTTTTGACTAGAAGCCTTATCGCTATAGTCTTACTGCACCAGTAATTCAAGCCCCCGGCTTTGGGGGCGAATCAGCTTGGGGCGCCTTACTAAGATAAGTTTCGTAGAGAACCAGATATATCCAAGTTCGACTAGTATTTCACCGCTAACCACAGCTCATCCAAGATTTTTGCCACAATCACTGGTTCGGTCAGCAAATAGCTACCTGGCCATGGTTAGATCACTTGGTTTCGGGAAATTTGACTTAAGAGATTTTTTCTCTTGCTTTCACTATGCCTTCATTAATACTTAAGCTTGCCAAATTTTGTCTTGCAGGCCATTATGCAAAAGGTGCCTTTTAGAACCAATTCTGAGTCTTTTCCTCACGGTACTTTCTCTATAGGTGTCTATCGGTGTTAAGTCTAGATGTCCAATCATCTTAATTATCTGTTTGAGACAATTCCTCCGCTATCGCTCGCCGCTACGCACGGAATCTCAGTTGATGTATTCCTCATAGTCTAATAAGATGTTTCAAATAACTATTCAATTTACCATTTTCAGTTAGGATAAACAAGTTCAGACTCTCTCCCTTGTTATTTCGTGTTTACGTCCTTATCGATAGACCCTAGACTTTACTCAGTTCCACTAAGGCTCAATAAGATAAACCCAATATAATTTCTTATGTCCTGGGGTTTCCTTCCAACATAAAATAGAAATTTTATTTCTATGTATGTCTAAATGACAGCTTGAGGAAACTGGCACTAAGTTTGACCTTCGATTTAATCTTCTACTACCTAATTTCTTAGGTTGAATGTGGTGGATACCCTCCGCTGAAGCTCCGCATAATTCACATGAATCAATAAAAACTTGAGGATTATATTTAGAAGGCGGAATATTGCTAAAGAGCTTGCTTCACTTCGGGATGGTGGTTTCCATTTAATAAGCTTACGATATTTTAAAGCACTATTATAAAATTTTTTGTCATTAATTTTGTGGCCGATAACGTCAATGCCATTTTGCGAAGGTCCTGGGCCAAGTTTTAATTTACGTTCATAAATTAGGCCCAAATCTTCGTGGTGAATAACAGATAAATGATAGTGTTGCAAATTATGTTAAAGATGTGTTGGGTTTCAATTGTACATTCGAGTACGTCGGGGACGATAAGGAACAATATAGAAAACATGAGTGGAACGGAAGTAGAGAGAGCAGAGAACGGAAGTGAGACAAGTGATACAAGTGAGACGAATGAGAGAAGCGAGAGAAGCGAGAGAAGCGAGATACTTTGAGGAGCAGTGGCGTAGCTAGGAAAAATAGTCACTCCCGCCAATCCATGTCGCGCCTGAGGCGCGACCCCACTAGGGGGGTCCGGGGGCATGCTCCCCGGAAAATTTTGAAATCCAGAGCCTTGGAAACAGCATTTCCTGCCATTTCGAGGGCGAATTATTTGTTGTACAATAATTTATAAAAACCCATTTTGTTAGCTGCATTCTTAATGTGGCAATCGTTGAAACTGCAACTAGTTAAAAGGTACTAAAGGTGGCTCAGAGAAACGTTACGCAGGAGACAATTGTCCCCTAAAACATAAATTACTCATCACTGCCCTGCATAAACAGAAGAAATTTGTATTAGCACAAAAATAATATAGTATACGACACTTCTAAAGTGCATAGAGAGATTTTTCTTAGCATTCTACTTGTTAGTTTAAACTTGTTTAGATTGGGGCAAGTAGACAGGGATGGCTTTATTCTTTAAAGTTATGCTTAATTTTCTCAATGAAGTACCATGTATTATACGAACAAATATCAAAACACATACTATACTCATCATTTATAAAGAAAGGCCAGCCTCCTGGGTTTTCTACAAATTTTCAACCACCTCGTTATGCAACACCTCTGATTCCTCTTTCTTTTCAATGATATCTTTGTGAATAGATATTCTACACAAAGAGCTAAGCCGACCTTGATCCATTCTATTTCTTAAATAACTTTTTACCCTTTTTAAGCAAGAAAACGACCTCTTTACTGAAGCACTTGCCACTGCCAACACACCATTCAATTTTAACAAATTTACCACTTGACCTAAACTCGACTGGAGATTAAATTTGAAGATGTATTTAAGAACCTCATTACTGCACTCTTTGTGAAAGTCCTTGTCGTTGTAAATGAAGGAAAGTTGACTCTCCAAAGTTTGGATGTCAAAAGAGGACTATACTTATCTTTGAGAAGATTGATCTTCTCCTGTGGAACTATGCCCTTCCATGTAGTAAATAGTTTAGGATTTACAAGGTCTAAAAACTCGAACTGATTAATATCTTGAAATCGTTCACTTAACATGCCTTTAATGGAATCAATAATCTCAAAATAAAGCTGTTTGTAATTGTATCTACTATCTGCTCTGGTTGCTGGTGGGCCTACTTTTTCTAGTGCAGTTTGGTAAAACTCGGTGAAAGCTTGATCTGTGCGAAGTGACACAATAAACTGCTTGAAATTGTCAATCTTGCTTATGCCATAGTTAAAATGGGTTTCCTATTTTGAAGAATGGAATACAAAATTGTGGACTGTTCTAAAATCCTGTAAAAAACACACACTAGAAAACAAAAGAGAAAGCTATCAAGATAATGCAGTAAGCCACTTATTTTACTTAATGACTCATCATCCCACCCAGCTGGTTGTTCAAGTACCCCTCAAAAATATCTAAAAGTTTTTCATAGTTTTGTGCAATACATTGATTAATCTAGAGCGATAATACCATCTTGTTTCACCAGGGCAGGAAACTCAAGGTTGTTAGATGTGAGAAAAGCTTTTCTTTTGGGGCATTGTTTGTAAATGTGCTGAATGTAGCTATATTAATAAAAAGATTTTAACAGGAGAAATTGATGAGGCTGACTGGCATAGGACCAGGTTCAATCTATGAGCTGCACAATGAACAAAATGAGCAAAGGATACTCTTGTCGAGCCAATGCTTGAACACCATTGATATGGCCAGACATGACAGAAGCACCATCATATGTTTGTAAAACCAGTTTTTCTTTTATATTAGAATACTCACCAAGTTTATCTTTGACAACTTGTGATATTGCTGTGGCATTTCTGTTCATACATACATCCACAAATCCTAATTGCCTCTCCATAATTTCACTTGCTTTGTCAAACCGAGCAATAACACTTAGCTGCTCTTTGGTGGAGACATCAGATGCTTCATCAACCTGAATACTCATAAATGTGCAATCATTTATTTCCTTTCTGATTTCATCTTCAATAATTGAATCAAGACAGCTGATAAGACCATTTTGAATTTCTGGGAGACTCCAGTAAATCTTCTGTCACCAACTATATCAGATTCTGCTAGTCTACTGTGCAGTCGACGCTCAAATACAGAATCAAACTTAGCAAAACATTCGAGCAACTCTCTATAATTACCTTTGTTCAAGCTACCTTCGGACTCATTGTGACCTCTAAATGGCAACTCTTGCTTTGACAAATACAGCACGGCCTCAGTAACAGTTTTAAAATTTCTCGATTTTGTCTTACCTCCTCATTGTGACGCTGAATCCATTTCTTCTAGCGAGGGACATAAGACAATCAATTCGTTCACTAGCTCCATACGTTTTCCATGTCTTAAATGCAGTCAAATGCGATTTAGATTTTCATGCTTCTTAGCATCAGACATAATTCTCCGCATATCGTTGTAGCCATTCTTAGTCCACGATGGCGATGTTTTGGGAAAACATTAGACATGGCCAACAAAACACTTTCTGCAAGGTTGTACTGCCACACAGCCAGTCCTTCGCCTCATACCAATCTCTCTGAAATGCTCTTCCCTTATTTTGGATAGTTAAATCAGAAGTAGGCCGTTCATGAACGATAACATTCTGTTCGACCGACGATCGAGCAGAGAACGGTTTAGCTAATAAGCTATTTACTAAATCAACATCAGTTGAGCAAATCGCAGTCGCACTTGAAGCCATTGTGTCATACACAAACACAAAATAGCAATTTGAGAGTAAACACAATGGAAAATTAATACCGACAATGACACGTAATTTGATGATCACTAATCGCTGTACTCGTATTAAAAGGTCGAATAATTACAACCTCCGCCAATTTAAAATAGCGGGAGTTCGACTATAAAAACAGCAGATTTAAGCATGCGTCAAGTCCCTTAGCCAACCAGAATTCAAAACTTCTTATATAGAATTATATTGTATGTTCCGCCCTCTGAAGATGGGCGGAATACGTGGAGAATCGCGCGAGTATGCAATGTGCGAGAAAAGGCGGTTGCTAGGTTACATAACAAATCTTGAGATTTTGTTGTATTACGATTACGAACCACCTAATAAAAGCGTAAATATGAACGAATAAAACATAATATTACAAATTGTTCGTGAAATAATGTATATCTTATGTCCAAATAGAATATTTATTATTTTTTTGGGAAATTTCTACTCCCGCCGGGCGGGAGTAGCGGGACCGCTAGCTACGCCACTTTTGAGGAGTAATAATAAAAATTGTTTAAGAAACCAAAGTTGTAATTGTGATTATTCTTCGTGTTCCGAAGATATTGGGACGGAGATCAATTTTCGGAATAATAGAACCGAACTGGTAAATCAATTAAAGAATAAACTTGGTGTAAATGAGTAGAAAGAGCAAAACTAGTTTGTGCAGTTGTTAATCTTTCAATTGTTGCAGCTAATATCGCTGTTCCTGAACTAACTTCTGTTCCATGACAAATTTCATCACCTAAAATTAAACTGTTATAATTAGCTAGCTTTAATATAGTTGAAAGATCTCTCATTTCGACCTCAAAAGTACCTTGGCCTTTATGAAGATCATCTCCCCCTAAAATACGAGTAATTAAATAATGATAAGGTCTTAACCTAAATGAATCTGCAGCTACATACATTCCTGCTTGAGCTAATATTACGTTGACTCCAATTGCTTTAAGTAAAGTGGATTTACCTGCACCATTTACTGAGAATATTAACATTCCTTTATCTTCTAGACTTATAATATGAGCCACACATTCTTCTTGAGTGTTTAACTATTCTACTGATGGATGTCGTAAATTAATTACTTCAATTAGACCCTTGGATTGTTGGGATTTTGTTGGTTCCAAAAAAGGTTTAGTATAATTAAATTTAATAGCCGCGATAGCTCCGCTTAATGCAATATCTATTCTAGAAATCATATTTTCTAAAAGCGAAAATAACTCAAAATAAATAACTTTATTTATCAAAATTTCTGAATCACCATCTGAATTTGCCCAAATTACTATTTCTCTAATACGATAATTAATTAATAACCGAACTACTTTATCTCTGTCCATCCAAGAGACAAGAAACATTATACTATGACCATTCATGGCTGAAATAAAGTAATACCCAATAAGTCGTCCTGAGAAAAATAGATTGATAATACATATGGTAATTCCGAACAATCCTCTAAGTTACAACTAGGAGAATAAACCTGAGATACTGCACGTTGTTTTGGCCCCGATTTACCAGTAACTAATTCATCAATAACTATAGCAGTCCAATCCTTATTCAATAAAGTACTTAAAACTGAGAAGTAAGGGAATAAGTTGGAAACCCCATTTGAAGTAAAGATCTTCTAATGATTTTCATATCAAGTAAAGAGGCAACTTGTTTAATAGAAGGTATCACCTCTAAAGGCTTACTCCGCATGAAGGACTCAATTAATAACTCGGCTTGAGAGTATGCTTGTTTTCTACTGGGGGTGTCAGGCTCATGCAAAAGTTCATAGAACTTACCAATTTGAATAAGCTGGATGACTGATAATCCATACTTAGAACAATTCTCCTCTGCTAAGTGAAAATATTGCATAGGTATTTGATTCGTTTTAATTTAGGGTTAACCTCTCAATAAATTTAGGCTCGAACAGCAATTGCACCACGCAAAAATTTGACCAAAAAGCGTATAGAGCACACGAGATTCAAATAGAAGTAAAATAGTAGAAGCCAGTAAAACTAGCTCTACACACATTAACATAATAATTAAATTACTTCTACATGTTTGTAAATGTAGATCGTCCAGGTTGATATAGTCCTGAGAAGGACTGTTTTTGTTGTTGTTGACTGACGTTTCGACAACCTTAGCGGTAGTCATCTTCAGAGTCAAAGGTAATCATTCCGATTAATAAGATGATAATTGATAACATTAAATAATTTATGCGCCAATACTAATTAGAAGCTAGTTTTCCCACTCTAAACCTCCTTCTATCCATTCATAAATTAACTCTAAAGTTAAGACAAATAAAAATAACATAACAACCCAATATCCAAATAAATGTAAACCCATATATGTAACAGCCCAAGGAAATAAAAAAGATAACTCTAGATCAAATATTAAGCACAAGATACCAATTAAGAAAAATCTAACGGAGGAGGGATTTCCCGGATTATCAAAAGGGTCAAATCCACATATATAAACTGACACTTTTTCCAAGTCGGGTTGTTTATATCGTAATAGATAAGATGCTCCTAAAACTACAATTGATAATGCCCCACTAATGATAAATAGTATTATTATTCCTTTGAATTCCATGTTCCTCTCCATATTCCTAAGCGGAGACGTGCATTAGCACTTTACCAGACAGCACCTGAAGGGGCTTCTGCTGATTTGTAGGAAAAGATCTTGCCTACTACGAGATGATTCCTTGTGGGAATTATATAAAAAAGGTGAATTGGGCTGTTTAGCTAATAATATAGCCCCTATCATAGCGACTGGTAGCACGAAGCTAGCAATTATTACTAATTCATAATAAGTAGTATAACGATGACTTCAAATTGCCCCAATGTTAGTTCTTGATCCTATCACAGGATTGCTGATATATTTAGGGATATTGGTTAGTGAAATATAAAATAGTAATATAACAAATAATCCTACTTGTAAAAAATGTGAGTAATCTTGAGAGTTTACTTTATTAGGCTGTTGAGTTAACATAATGACGAACAGGAATAAAATAACAATAGCCCCCACATACACAATTATAAATATTAAGCGTATATAGTCTAATCTCAACGATATAAACATAACAGCAGCATTAACAAAAGCAATAACTAACCAGAATACTCAGGGGCAGATCTAGGATTTTTCAAACATCAGTCATGAAACGACGTAGGCGCTTCTCACCTGGGGGTCTGAGGTATTCTCCCCTGAGAAATTTTGAATTTAAGAGCTTTGAAAATGCCTTATTCAGCGTTTTAGATCAATACAAAATGTATTTTGTGGGCATCGTTTTTGCGTAAATACAACACATTTTGCTTACGTTTTTTTTTCAAAAATAAATGAAGTGGACAATACTTGAATGTTTTGCCAAATATATGGCCCATTAGCATGCCTAGGAACGCAAAATTCATTTTACAATATTACTATTCCGAAAAGGACATGTCTTTAAAAATTTCTACCAAGTTACCAGGCATAGACCCCCTAGAGACCTCCATTCAAACCTCTATGTAATAAGTTAAGTTAGAAATTTGGTACTACAAGTGACAGTTCATAGATATAGAAAAGCTCAGACTTCAAAACATGCAAGTTTATTGTAACCTTTTATCCATCTCCACATACAGTGCCAGCAAATTCACCTTTCTAGAGAAAACTCAAATATTTTTTTTGCCAAGGGTTAAGCAAAAATTATCAGAGTGAAAATTTGCAATTAAGGACAGCTTAATGCCATTAATGTTTATTAGGCATTTCACTAGACTATTATCTTCTCTAAGTATATGCAAGGTGTGCTATAGAGCAATCACTAGTAGCATTGTATTTTCAAATACAAAAAGAATGTAACCAACATGTATATAATTATATAATTACATGAATGTTAAAATTGGTTCATGTGTCATGCTTACTGGTTATGATAAATATCTTTTCGTATGATAAAAGCTTGCTTAAAGGTAAATCTGAAATAATTTAGCTTAGAAATTATAATGATCATCAGAAAAATTACCTAGTGATCAAGAAAAATACTTTGTTGTTTTGCCAAATTTCAAGGTTTATCTGCATACATAGAAACACATTTTTACTTTATAGAAAATGCTTTTCATACATCAATAGCCCTTTGGAATTTATTGCAAACAATCTGGTATGAGCTGTAGATCAACACACCTTGACATCTCTACATGAGGTGTTCAGTTAGAAAAGGGAACAATACGTGACATGGGACAACATTTCATGTATGTGAAATACTCAGGTTTAATACCATTCCAGTCAAATTGTCAAAATAAAAAGCTTCATGGATTAGAAAAGACTCAAATCACATGTTATAATAAACAGCTTCTCATGTAATCAATGTTAGTTTTCTCAAATCTTAAACAATGTGTAGTGTAACTGTCTAATGATTGAATGATCAATAATCATAAACTGAAAAGCCCCAAACATTTGTTTATGATAAAGTAAATAATAGCATGGCGCCTTATGGCTACAGATTTTTTGTCCATTGAAATATATTTGCAGGAATGTAGGATTACGCTGCCATATAACGGCCACGATTCCCCAAGCACTAAAGAAATCATAGCTAAAAGTCCTTCGGCAACAACAATTTTAGAAGCATCAATCTGCCTACCATACGCCATATTGACATAAATCGAATCACATACTTGCACAAATTGACTTTGCTATTTTACATTCATGCATACACTTCAGTAGTCCTTTACTTAAGATTTTGGATGTAAATTTCTGCTGATAAAACTCAAAACAATTTTGGCTTGCTTTTGAACATCAATGACTGAAATGTTGCTCGCGAGATCGTCTTTGCCAAGCATTTACAATTTATCTATAAATTTTTCACCCTCTTGAAAAAATTCACAGTTTGGACAGCAGCATTCGTGTCAATATATGATTTTGTAAAAGATTTCTATAAATTCCATCTGATTGTAGTTTAGTTTCTATCATGCTTTAAAACATTACTATGAAACGCTCAAACATTCAACTCAGACCGTGAGCTTGACTATGTTAGTTCAGTTGGCTTTCAGTCGAAATCGGTCAAACCAATCACAGTAAGACAAAAATTTCAACGAACCAATTACACGATAGCAATTGGACTCCCTTATAGGTCCGGCGACCCCGCTTATCGGTCGAGATTAGTCTAGATCGTCCACTGATCTGGCTATTGACCAATGAAATGGCTTAAATAAGCGTTCTTGAACTCCGTTATCGGTCGAACCAGTCGAGCCATCCCGCTTATCAGTCAGCCAGTTAATATAATTCTATATAAGTTTTAATCTACTGATCTGTTTACTAAGGTGATATTTGTATAAGTTTTCATACATAAAACAGAATTTTGATGATGAAATCAAACGATTACAGAACAAAAATTTAATGATAAAAAAATTGTAATCATTAAATTTGATAAATAATTTTTGAACTACAAACATATGTCGCGTGACTGATTTGACATAGCCTAGATCCGCCCCTGAGAATAATGAATAAACAGTATTCGACCTAGATACAACCATAAGACTAGCTCCAACTATTCCTAATGAGAATACTATAAATAAACTATTCATATTATTTAATATAATTCCCTGCAGACATATTGATCTCTGTAGGGGCTACTAATTGTCATCGCCCACCTATTCTTAATCATAGGACTAACATAACACTATATGTGCCATTCGTATTACTTACTCGCCTATACATATTGTGTTATTACTAATAATTAAAAGAATATAACTTACATGTGTTAATGTAGGTTTAAAGAATTATTGATGTAAATAACAGTTAATAGGCAAATCCCATATGCTTGAATCGAAGCCACAGCAATTTCTAGTAAGGTTATGAAAACTATCACTAATATTGGGGCTAAGCTTAAAACTAACATATCATTACTAATCATTGTGAATCCAAAACTTGCTAATATAGCAAAAAAAAGGTGCCCAGCAGATAAATTAGCAGCTAATCCAACACCAAATTTTATTGTTTTCTATCTTGTGTATAAAAACAAAATCGTTATACTGTTTTTCAAGTAAACTATTTAAACCCGGGAGTATCGTTACATGTTTGTAAATGTAGATCGTCCACGTTGGTATAGTCCTGAGAAGGACTGTTTTTGTTGTTGTTAACTGACGTTTCGACAACATTAGCGGTAGTCATCTTCAGAGTCAAAAGAGCAGTAAACGTCAGGTTAGCACTAATTCACAATGACAATACACATTTCCTGTACACACAATACAATGACGTAAGAACCAGTCAACAAATACCTAGCCTGGCGTTTACTCCTCATTTGACTTTGAAACGTAAGTCAACAACAACACAAACAGTCCTTCTCAGGAATATACCAAACTGGACGAAAAACATTTACAAACATGTAACAATACTCCCGGGTTCAAACCATTTACTTTAATATATTCTTTGCCTTTTAATTTCCTTTTGAAGCTCTTTCGTATGTTTCTTCGTTTTCTCAGCAGCATGTCCAATTTGTACAGTTTTTTGTAGTGTTGATTCTGGTTCTCTAAGAAGAAGTTCACGAAGACGGTTATCATTAAGTCTACATATTATAATGTCCAAATATACACAGGATAAAACTATCTCGACCAAATCTCACCATTAAGCAGCAATCCATGGACGCCAAAACCACTTTCCAGAAACGACAAAAGAATAAGGATCGCAGAGACCTTCACCGCTACAGACTACAAAAACCGTGAAAATATCTTTACCAGCGCAAACCATTACACCAGCAGAACCAAACCTGCTCGAACTAGTAACCACAAGCACAGACTACTTGATTACAAAAAGAAAGGACTACAGAAGAAGCTTTACACAATGAACGAATGACACTTGACACCTACCTATTATCTGCAACTGTACAATTCTACATCTTTAAAAAATTTAGGGGGGAAGGATTAAGGAAATTCATATTGCCCATAGTTAATATGGAAAGTGCACTCAAATTTTATTGTTTTCTATCTTGTGTATACACAAAAATATAATATTTTGTTGGAAACATTTGACAAAGATTCATATTTCGTAAAAAAGGCTAAGTCCTATCTAGAAAAATGTCAAAAACTTGATGTCGATAAAAATAAGATCATTTTCTTCTTTATAACACGTCTTTTGGTTTAACTGCCACTAGTAATAAATATGAAATAATTTATAGCAGCAATTTAGGTCAGAGATCACTGGAGTCACATAATTCAAACACACACACAACACGCAATAATTTTTCAACGAAAAAATTTCTTTACGACTACATTTTATATTACAGTGCAAAATTAATAAAAGTCATGCAAATACTTAAATCAAATCAATTAAATTGTTTCATTATATGTTTTTGCAAAATTATTGACACACATATCAACTTCCTGTTTTCGTCCTACAAAATGAACACTTCATTTCCTTCAAATGGACAGTAATATCACATAAACATAGTTCCATGCAACAATAAATCATTGACTAATAATGTAACTAGCCCACTCGTGTTAGTCCTGCTATGCAAATTTTTGAGCATCATCATCATTCATTTCTTTAGAATACGGTCACATAATTTTCAATTTTTAAATTTGCACAGTAAAACTTAATGAGTGAACTGGCTACACTACATTTATTGACGACACATATAAAAAAACCATAGAAAATTTTGAAAATAACCATTGAAACATCCATAAAGAACTTAACTTCCTGAAAAAAATGTTCAAAGTGTCGTATACTTCTCATCGGTGTAGATTGAAGTTACTTTCACATATTGATTTTATTGTATGCTAGACATACTATTTATATGAAAGAAAGTAGACATGAAACTGTCACTTTAGGTTGAGGCATAGGCAAAAATGCTGAACGATAGCCCATTGGCTACAAAACCTTTGTAAACATGCGACATTCTTCTATTCTCTCTCATAAATGTTCAGTCACTTTAATTGTTTGCAATTTTTAAAAATTAGAAATTCCTTTAAAAACGGTCGTGTAGATGACCATTTTTTCACTTTCAGGTTTCAAAAGTGTTGTCAACAAAGTCAATCACTAATATCACAGTAAAATCACAGAGCCTTTGTCTTCCAGGTCTGCTTGCAGATGAAACTTCATGGTTTGAGAAAAATAGAAAACTTTGCCACCAAGTGCTTTAGTAGATAAATTAGTCATTCCTTTGGTTTGAATTTAGACATTAAAAATTTTCAATATGCCATAAATTAATACATATCAAGTCTCGTTGGACATCCATTTCCAGTATGCTGACTGATCTTTGAGTGAATAAAGTTCTTTTAGTTGTTTAACACTTTTTATTACAAATACGCTTTAATTAAGTTCATGGGCTTCGCTTGTCCAACAATACTAAGTTCTCTTTTGTCGCAGGCAATAATTGATACGATTGATTGACAAAGCACAGATGTTTACAAAGCAAAAATTCTTGATTTAAAATTTCTCAGTAAAAGTCATAGGTGTATCCTCAAACATCCTTTCACATGCAGCATTGTAGCTTCTGCTCTTTCTTTATATTTGCAAACTCTTTATAGCTTTTGTTAACTTTTCTCGTTCGTACAATAACACATAGTTTGGAGCGTTTCAAATCAAAGGACACTTGTTTATCACAAAATTGAATGTCCATTATGAAGTCGATTTTTTATGTACAGTTTACTTTTTTACATGTTTCTTCACATTTCGTGGTGCACGTGGTTTGGTTTTCTGTGTAATTGCTTTATAATACTTCTTGCTTAAATTTACTTGAGCATTCATACCAGTGAATGTTTTGTAGTAAAAGACAGTGTAAATTACAGAATGAATAATAGAGTGAATTTAAAATTATTTAGATTGTAATGTCATTGACAAGAGCCTCTTTAATAATAAACTTTAACAATACAAATTAATTTGTTTATCCGCATATACATGAGCTTGGCTTTCAAAAATGCTCTACCTTCTTCAAAATAAATCTTTACGAAGATCTTTACGAACCACAATACACTGCTCTGCCCATGCTTATTGTTAAAATTTATAATTAATTGACCCTCTCAATTGTGCAAGAATTGAATACGTTCGTGCTGACCTTTGCCAAGCTTAACCCAAAACCTTATAACAGTAATCGAACGAAATACCAATATTTTAATAATTTATACAACATATTCTTCGACATATTCTTCTACAAACATTTAGACCGATTCGGGCAAAGAGTTTTTTGAAGAATATATCGAAGTTTATTTTGTTGAAACTGCAATGGAATAAGTCCTTTAATGTCTTTTTTTGTTTGTTAACAATTCTTGACTGAGACTAAAGAAAACAGTTATATCACTTTTTGATTGAGACAAAATGAAACAAAACACACTGTGTCAAAGATTTCAATCAATTGTTTCGTTGTTTGCCAATTTTTAAACAAAAAAATTGACAACAACGTTAACAAACATCTCTTTTGACTAACATCATCATGTCCTCCTCACCTTATTGTCTAAGGATGTCCTCAACTAATTCCCAAGGAAGAGGTACTTTAGCAACTGCTAATGTATTTAAAAGTGACTGAAATTTTTTTTACTGATTTGAAATGAATATAATTCCCCACTTATTCTTTTTAAGGAAATTTCGTAATATTCATTGAGATCTGTGAAAGTAAAACTGTTGAAACGTTAAAAATCTCTGAAATCAATTTTTCATTTAATGTTAAAAACGTGTCTTTAAACATCTTTTTATGTGCAAAACTGTCGTTTGTTTTTTCTCTCTATATTGCAAAACTTTCTCTAACTTTTGTTAACTTTTCCTGTTTGTACAATAACACATGGTTTGGAGTGTTCCAGTCTCAATGGTATCACGATGATGAACTTCAATCATGAAGTCATTTTCTAATGGAGTTTAGGAGTTACTTTTTAACAATCAGTGAGAAAGACAGCCAAAATTTTAATTTTGCTAGAAAAACATATGGCAAAAGTACCATTGCTTTATTATAAATTTAAATTTCTCAAATGCATAAAGACGCAAATATTCATGTAACAAAAGTAACAATTGGGCTGTCTTTATCTTTGTTAACAACTTAATACATCGATGATTTGTATATAAAAACGCAATAATTAAAATGAATCAAAAATGCTTTTTGTGCAAGATAAATTGATGAAATTTCTAATAACTTGCTTTATGTATAAAATGGTAACAAAAAACGTTTCCATGTGCAATATTAAAACTATTTTGCATAAAATACATTTGCATGAAAATTATGATTACATGACGTTTTAACAAAACAAAACCTTAAGTGCAATAGCAAACACTAGTTTGCCTTTTCTATGTTTGTGTAACAAGATAAAAGTCAATAAATTTATTTCGTTGAACAAGTAAAATTATTGTCTGACACAAAAGTCCTTTTTGCTGTTGGTTTGTCTTCGTTATTGTTTTTCAATTGCTATCATTAATTGATGAAGTTCAGTTTTCCTGCATGATCTCCAAAATTGTTGACATTGTCAAAGATGACTACCGCTAAGGTAGTCAAAACGTCAGTCAACAACAACAAAAACAGCCCTTCTCAGGACTCTACTAGCCTGGACGATCTACATCTGCAAACACGATACTCCCGGGTTCAAACCATTTACTTTATTGTTGATATTATCGTCAAACTGCAGTCCCTTTACAGAAAAATTAAAGTTAGACAAAGGTCATTTTATAAAACCATAAGCAAACAGACTTTAATTGAAATGTCAACAATGATGGAGATCAAGCATAAAAACTGAATGAAATTTTCTTTAAGATAATGCAGTTGACATGTCATGGTCAAACATAGGAAGAAATTTTATCATCAAGATCAAATTTATTCTCGTGGCAAGATGATTTTTGCGCATTGTACCGCGAACTTTAAGAAATAAAAATTTAAAACAAGTCTGCTTTTACGACAGAAATAAAAAAATGTAGGTGACATACTCACACGCGGGAGATATAAATGTACATTCTTAAAATATTTCAAATCAATCAAGCAAAAGTCATAATTAGTTATATATCTATCATCAAGAAAAAAAAACACTGGCTCAAAAATACCCCTAATTGAACTGTAAGTAATTTGTAGGTTTTTAACGTCAAATACTTTTACAAACACTTCTGATTCACCTACTAATAATTTATCTGCTGAAGGTGAAAAATCTGCGTAATCAACATTGCCAGTAATATCGTGTATATCTTCAATGACTCCACTTGTTATTACTTTGGCGATTTCCTTCTGAATTATGCCATCCCAACCATTTACAAGTTTGTCTTCATCCCACATACAGTAAATTATTTCATCCTCAAATTCAACTTTAGCAAACACGTGATACTTAGAGCTACATGCAAATACGTGCACATTTCGATAATTTTCAAAATTCACTGATATTTCTTTTCGCTTGTTTTCAACATTGAAAAACACAAAAGAATCAGTTTTTTGACAAGCAAATGATACATCACTCACCTCAAAAATTTTGTTTGTACCTTTTAGTTCATCAAAACTATAACCAAGTTTTGTCAAATCATTATTCCAGAGCTCAGGAATATTTTTTGCCTTAAGCAAAATAACACCATTTTCTACAGAAACCATGTCACTAACAAAACATTCCTTGACAACAACATCAAATGTGTTGAGATTGTATATAAATACCCTTGAATTTTCTTCATTGCTCCGATACAGAAATTTTCCATTTGAGCAAAATTTCTCGTTATAAAAACTGTAACTGTTAGTAAAAAATGCACGTGGTATTGAATAAAGATTACAGTCATATCCGTATTCAAACAAAAGAACATTGTCGTTATACAAAATAAAATAATACTCTCCTGCTCCATGAAAAGAAAAGCTAGATCTGTTGTCATTGAAAGGATCAAGAAGAAGAATCGAAGTTAGGGAATCAGGATCTAAGTCAGGAAGTTTCTCACAAGTGGGATTTACAATAAACCTTTGATACTCTATGTAAGGTTTGCAACAACAACACCAAGAATGCAAGCCAACAGTATAAAAATTAAAATCCCTACCGTATATAGCACGAGGTAAATGATCGTCGTAAAGAAATACTTCATAATTATTCCCTACATCAAATATTTGAGCCACTATTTCTTCATCAATAACACACAAATATCTTCCAGAATTAGAAAAACACAGTGTGGTCACATTTTTACATCTAATACTGCGTTTCTTCTCACCTTTCTTAACGTCCCATACTGTCAAAGTATCTTTGTAACTAGTGACCATTGTGTACTTATCCTTAGAAAAACATTTGTTGGTAAAGAACTTAGAAGTAGAATCATCACAATGGAACGGACTGGAGGAAATTTTACAATCAATATCTAGTATCTTATCAAGCTGGGAAGCAAAAATCAAATCTTCGAACGGATGAAAGACAACGCAAAATTCTCCCTCTTTAAATTGCTTAAACTGACCATCAATATTTTTTATCCATAAACATCTGTTTGTTCTCAATGAAAAAAGTTGCACGACGAATCCATTATAACCACAGACGACGTAATCATGATTTCGTGAAACATCAACAGACTTCAAATTTTGATCTAAACGTAATAATCGAGCCTTTACAAAACCCGTGTCTTTGCACTCTAGATATGGTGAGTCTTTGAAACGTGTTTGAAGCATTGTGATGGCTTGAGACGAAAGATCTTTGACGTCGTTGGCAACGTTTTGCAAAAAAATTACTTTATTGCCTATACGCTTAGAGTACGTCATTACAGAAAAAACTTCATTAAATAACAATCGAATGTCCTCAGAAATAAGAAAGTACACATCATGTGCGTTGAATAATTTAAAATTTCCAAAAGTACGACGAGAGTCAACCAAAATAGAAGCAACTAAAACTTCCAAGTCAACAAGATATTTACCAACATTTTCAACGATATAATCATTATCAGAAATATCAAGTAAATGAAGCAACCAATACTTGACTGAATACCTCACTGACGCATGTTTAATGACGTCATAGTTTACACCTTCAGCTTTGAGGTTATCGAAAGATTTTAAACAAAATTCTAAAACAAGTCGATGACCACAAGATGTTTTTACTGAGTAATCATGTTTTCGATCATCCAACAACCAATCATTTAAGGATTTGTGAAAAAACGAAACACATTTCTCCATTGGTAACAAACAGACAAGAGATAATTTTTCTAACCCCAAGTGATATGTAATTTGAATTCAAACAAAGAACGTCATCGATCATTTCCCAAGGAAGAGGTTCTTTAGCAACAGCCAGAGCATTTAAAAGTGACTGAAACTGTTCGTTACTGATATGAAACGAATATAATTCCTTACTTAATCTTGTTAAGCAAATTTTGTAATATTCACTGAGATCTTTTGGTATTGAAGCATTCACCAAATCCTGACTTTTGACTTCACTGGTAAGAAGTGATGCAAGCAACATAAGTCCGTCAGCCTTTTCTGCCAAAATTTTTTTCAAACCAGGAATGCTGTCAGTAGAGCCAACTCTTTCTTCAATGAAAAAATTAATATCGTCTAAATTGCGTTTATCGCTGCAGTTAATGAACAGAGGATTTAATTTTTCGAACTTATTCAAAGAAACTTCGTTAGGTCTCGTGGTAATTACAAAGCGAAAACAATGCGGTAGTTTGTGCAAGTGATTAGCAATAATATTAGCAAGGTCATCTCTTTCTGGATAACCACATTCATCGAGAGCATCAAGCACAACTAGCATTCGCTTGGGAACTTCTGAGATATTATTAAACAACTCGGTGAAAAGAAGGGAAAATAATCCTTCAACATTCATGTAATTCAAAGGCTCACACAGTTGACCTGAAAGTTTTTTCACAAGAAGTTGTTTGTAAGAAGGAAACTTACGACTAATTTGCATCGCTAAAGATTGAAGAAGTACATTGGCTTTATTGTAACGACTGTTGTTGTGTTGAAAGAAATGAACTGCAGTCAAATATTGTGGATAACGTTTACATAAAGTAGCTGCAATTACAGACTTTCCCATGCCAGCAACAGCAGAAATAATAAATGCACGATTTTGAGAACTGTCGTCTTCAAACCAAGCCAAAAACTCATCAAAAACCCATTCCCGAGTTCCCTCTAAAAATTTTTCATAATGATGTCTAATTTCACTTTCAAAGTTACAACTTACAAGGTGACGTTTCATTTCTTCCTGATGACTTATCATTTCTTCCTGCTTACTTTCAATTACACACAAACGATTATGTACATCAAATTTGAATTTGTCCCATTCTTTCACAATTCTTTCACATTCTTCATTACCAAACAACTCATTTTTCAATCTATCTATTTCTTCCTGACTTATTCCTAAACGAACTAATGGTTCGCTTATTTCCGCCCAATGATATTCAAATTCATCAAAGCTTAGTGAAATGTCAGGTAAGTGAGCAAAACGATCATTACGAAATAACCTGATACGGGTAATATCTGCTTCAGTTGAATAATCAGTGAGGTCATTTACTGACGTCCATATTGGATCACGAGGTGATTTTAAACCACAAATATTACGAAGGAGTATACAAAGTAAAGTAATGTCAAACTTATTTTTATTTGGTAATATTGGAGGATCTGGATACAGTTGATCCCACTGATGTGGATGGATTTGTCTATTCTTTAGACTTGAAAGTAGTTGCGCATTTTCGGGGTCATTTGAAACATAAAATAAATCTGTACCTAATAGTTGTTTCCTCAATGTTATTCTTAAAGCTTCTCCACCAACATCAACAATCAATCTCATCAACTTAAAACCATTAGTTTTCTTGTCTGAGCTCAAGACAGTCTCCATGTCGCTACCTGTAGAAAAAAAGTAGGTAAGACTTCCATGGTACAAATTCATTGTGATTATAAAGGAAAACCTGCGGCCAGTTACATGAAGGCAGAATAGTTTTATCCATTAGATAGCAAATTGTTTTGAACTTTTACAAAATCTCTTAAAAAGGAATAATATGTGATTTGTACTAAGCAATCATTGAAATAT